CTAGCTCTTTTCCAGCCTGACTAATCCTATGTCAGTCAGCTAACACTGACTGTCGAGGGAGGCGATGACTAGGCGTACGCAACACATGTCCTAACCATCTCAATCGATGTAACTTCACAGCCTCATCGAATGATTCCGCCGCCACCTTACCTACCACTCGACCCAAGTCTAACCTCAGTATTGCTTACCCTACTATTCCACTTCACATGGGAAATAGAACGCAGGCACCTATGATCAAAGACAGTTAGCCAGGCTTTTCATGTCCTCCACTCTCAAAGGTCAGATCTCACAGCCATAAAGGAGCACGGAGCGAACTGCTGAGCAAAACACATCTCCTTTGGTCAGTACCCAGTCGGAAATAACATCTACGCCAGAGATGGCGTAAACTGAAATATGAGAAACCAGCCCTCTGTATCCATGCTGAGATTTCGTCAGCGATCAACCCGTTGGTGTCGGCTGATGCAACTTCCCAAATAAGTGCAGTCGTCAACACGCTCGACAAACTACTTCACTCCCTATTTCTATACCTGGCATGCTGGTCATCTGAGGGAAACACCTCACTGCTGTTACATCCCTGTTCCCCAGCAGTACGAATTCACCCACAAGCCCCCAGCATAGTGTAAGAAGAAAATCCCTACACTATGCCGGTAACTGCTTTTACTCTAATCGCTATCCTAACAACCTATTTCACCTACATATAGCTGAAATTGTTGACTTAACCACAACTTTGCATCAAACAAAAACAAGTTCACACGTTATTTCTGCCCTGATCAAACTTTCACTGGAACGTCTTCACCCCGCCAAGGGTTTCTCTACGTCCAAAAAATCCTAGTCACAATGTTTTACACCCTTCATTCGAGTATCCTACTATTTATACACTATACTGATTTATTATTAGTGAGATTATTTCTTTTCACAATATATATATATATATATATATATATATATACAATTATGACTCCATCTCATTCATTTCCCATATTGATTATTCCATGATTTCATGACTATTCCACCACAGTCTCACTATCTTCTCCTCTTCAATGCATACTATGCTTCGTACTAGCCACTCACCATTGTCCATTTTCGTTCCCCACCTTATATGAATAATCTATTACGACTAATCATCACCGTCAAAGTCCAGTGCTCAAAAGCTCGAGAGTCAGTCATGTACCACCCTGAGAGTATTGAAACAAATACGAAATCAACTTGTGTGACGATTTAGCCACTGGGTAACAAAACACATCGTTATTAAACATTCAAACTCACCGCATTAGATTATGTCAATTTGATTTCTCCACTGAATGACTGGATGACAATGCAGGAAATTCACTGCATTTATTCAGTAGGCATGAAGGACTGCTACCGCTACTACTACCAGTAGTAGTAGCAGTAGTGGTGGTAGTGGTTCTCGGAGCATCTGTATCTCTTTCAAGCCCAACATATTTCAACTGTTCCATGGGACCATAACGATAGTCGAAGAATAGTTCTTCTCCAGGTTGAATAGTACGTTTCACGAATATACCCATTCGATGATCACCATTCACCATGACCATCTGTGGGAAAAAACACACACAATTTATGATATAACATGAAAACCACTGGACACTCACTCTCGTGGCAGAGTCTAATTTCATCATTGAATGAATTTATCTGATAAAAGTACACACTGATACAGTATTCTTCACTTACTGATGATATGACATTTCCAGCAGAATTCATCACTCCACTCCTCATAATCATATCAAGGCGCTCACATAATTTTCAAACCTTCTTCATACAATTCTTTCTTTCTTTCCTATATTTTGATTCTATCACCAGTTCCCTCACACATATGTAGACTCAATAGCACAGGGAATCAAATTTTACTTTCAAGTCAGGAAATGCACAAGGAGAACTATCTATGGGCAGTAATTATAAACTGTGGTTCAAATATGAATAACACTGTATCACTGTGTGCTTTTATTAAATAAATTCACTCTACGACAGAATAATTTCTGGGGAGAAAGACTACTTGAAAGAAAGAGTGAAATAAACAATCTCGGCACAAAGGCACATCAAACACTTGTAGTGAATGCACATTTTATACATTTATATATATATATATATATATATACTCCTGTACCCAAAACAATTAGCTTGATGTCAAAAGTTACTGTATTCCACAGGCTGAAACCAGCTAAAAACTATTGGCTATTAAGGGTGCAGCAGTTTTAACCAAATTCCATTGGCAAGTATATGATTCCCGACCTTAATACAACAAATCACACTACTTTTTCGGTGGTATATCTACACATATACGATGTACTTCTTGTCTAGTAATGCTGTAGTCGTTGTTGTTGTTGTTCTCGTCTTCGGTTATTCTTTGTGGGCTCAGAACAGCAGAAGGTTATCTCTGGAGAACAGTCGTATTTGCTGCTATTCAATCGAGTTGCCTATCGCACTCAACATCGTTTTCTGAGAGCCAATATTATTATCGAAAGTAATATCTAATTCGGTGACGTGTCAACTCACAAAATTGACTTTTCCAGGCGACCATTGTTTGAAACACAGCTGATTTCAGTCACACTTCATTCTTCCCCAACGGTCAAATTTACTGTAGAGTAAACAAGCTAAACTTTTCAATCATGTAGTACGGATTATAACCGGAATATCATGGACAAGTAGATTTTCAAAGACACTTCTGTCAAAACATCAACAATTCACAGTACGGACATTCTAAAACACAACATTTATTACTAGGAAAGATCCAACTTCTACAATGGCTAACATTCACATTCAGTGAAATAACTTTTGCAGGATGCAATCTACAGTCATTCGAAGATATCACAGTTTTCATTTGAATACTATCCAGTATCAACAAACAACACTGACTGACTGACACAAAAATATCGAAATACGTCATCTGGAAACCTACCTAATGACCACTGTTCAGCGAAATGGGACACAACATTGGTGTATCTAATGGTGGACAGTGAATTTCATAAATGCGGCGAAAATCACATCGACAATAAGAGGTATGTATCACAACGGAGATGTGCACAGATTGTGCACAAAGCTTTCTTTACACACACACACACACACAAAGGCATTCACTGTCGACCACATCCTTTCATTTGATTATCAACGTTTATAATGAGGTATGAAAGTAGAAACTGAATTACACCAGGAAGCAGCTCACCACCTATGGTTGGAACCATCATACACAGATAGTGAAAACACCATGGATGCGAAAACACACCAAGAACCATGTTAGGCATTCTGTGTGCGTGTGTGTGTGTGCGCGCAACTGACATCTCCAACAAATCCTCAGATTCTCCTTTTCCCCCGCTTTATTTTCCAAGTGAATAAGATACATAGTCAAACAACGGCTCAAACAAACACCACACAACAACAGACGCACCTAATATACACTCACTATCCGCCATCCGGGTAGGACGGAGGATTTCGACAGATCATCCGAGATTAACCCAAGACAAAAACGTTTGCAAAACTATACACTGTAAAACTGTATAAAAGGAAAGGAAAGACAAGAAAGCTAAAACATAAGACTGAAAGAGTATTCCACACACACCTACTTCTCCATAATAATTTGGATTAACTGAATGATTGGCGAATCGAATCTTGTTACCCTTCCGCATTGCATCGACGAAAAAATCACGATTAAGATTGAACAAGAAACTGCTCATTGTTTTATCATAAATCTTTCTTGTTGAGAGACGAAGAAGATTAACACAGTATTACAAGTGCAAAGCATCGATCGCTACGACGATTATGCACTGCTGAATTACTGCAATGTTATTTAGTTACTTTTCCACATTGACCTTGTCAACGAAGAAAAAGCTGTCTGCGGCGAAAGTTACTATGGATATCAACAGCGTCCTACTGCTGCTGCTGCTACTATTACTACCACTACTACTAATGCTGTTGCTGACCACTTCGAAGAAAACAATTAACACGGATCGCTGTGGCGTCGTTACATCGCAAATCCACACATCACAAATGTTATTATCATTGTCATATCAGTACTAACTGCGTGACACTAGGAGTACCATCACTTCATGAAGCCTTCTTTAAATGGAAGACATGTCATAAGCCAGCTATCTTCGCCCTTACATCTTTGCATTCTAACATGGTAATACTACTGACGCCAGGTATGGGTGTCAGCTGAGGATGGAAAATCAATCGATGAACACCTTATGGAGCTACAGGGATTCTCATGGCTAGGATACATGCCATGTATGCTGAATCAATGCCTTCGTTATAGTGCAATGCTAGCTAACATACAATTAGATTAGAAAAGAGTTAGGAGTGGTCGAATTAAAATTAACGACGTCTCTAATTGTTCCTTTCGGCCAACCCCGTAAGAAGGCCACATACCCAACCAAGAAATAACTCACAATCGACTTCTTTTTATGTTCCAACACTCAGAACGATTTCGCTGAGCTGTATTCAACTAAGTGGAGCTTGAATAACACCACAACTGACGAATACTTCAAAATCATTCGCTACTCCCACTGACTCGATACTCAACATAAGGTGGACGATCAGAAAGGAAAGGTAACGAACCAACCAACAACCTACTGGACAACAAATATGCAGAAGAAAACGCGGATGGACTGGACATACGCACTCAGAAGACCGTGAAATGAGCGCCAATCACACCACCATCACTCAAGTCAGACCCAAATGGGAAAAGACGGCTCGGCGTTCGACGGTACATCAAGGAGACCATGCAAGGCGGAAGGAATGAAAGCTTAGGATCAATTGTGGAGTCACCTAAAGAAAGACTGAAGAGGACGACGTGAGCTGGAGATCTGCTGTTGCTGGAGCTCTATGTTCCATCCGGAAGACAAGGGAATAATAATAATAACAACATAATAACCTACTTTTATTTCAAATTATCACTTTCATTTACTGAGTTATTTATTAATTTATTCATCATTTATTAGTGATCAGTAATAACAAGAGGAATAACAAACAGAGAAATTTTGAGGACTTACCACGTCGATCAGCTTCGTCTTGACTAATGATCTCACCACAATATTCATAGATAAATTCGTTCTTATCTGCACCATCTTTGACAAATATGCCCCAACTATCAAAAATATGTATGTATAACAAACACAATAAACAAGAACACTGACTGAGTATGACGCTGCATAAAATACTCATATGAGTAGTACTTGATTCCTTGCCAGCTAGCTAGGTAGCCAGTTAGATCAATGTGACCATTCTAATCACACACTGGAAAGACGTTTATCCCTCTCATCAGCCGGCCGGCCCGACCACATCAACAGCGTACCTGCTACTTTTCTAGTTCGGAGTCTCCTCAAACCACTGAAATTCTGGCTGGAGGACTAGCTAGCTACTTGGGAGAACTTGTAATACATGTAATTTGCAAATTGCGAATCTCACTTAAACAAAATGTATTATTATTATTATTATTGTATCCTTTAGTTCCTAGAGGAACATAGGGCTTCAGCTGCGCACCTCCATTGACTTCGGTTTTCTGACAACTTTTTCACCCTGCTCCAGGTCTGTCCACATGCTTTCATCTCCTCCTCGCATGACCTCCTCCAAGTCACCCTTGGACGACCAACTCGCCGCCTCCCTTTCGGGTTCCACTCGAGGGCTTGTCTAGTGATGTCACTTGATGGTTTCCTCAGCGTATGGCCAATCCATCTCCATTTCTTTCTGCCTATTTGTTTCACAATCGGTTCCTGATTGGTTCGCTCCCAGAGATCCCTGTTGCTGATCTTTTCTGGCCATCTGATCTTGAGTATTGAGCGGAGACAGTTGTTAATGAAGGTTTGAAGTTTGTTTGAGATGCTCTTTATGACTCGCCAAGTCTCTGATCCGTATAGTAGCACTGACTTCACATTGGAGTTGAAAATCCGGATCTTATTTTTGATGCTGATTGCTGTTGACCTCCACACAGATTTGAGAGTAATGAAAGCTTGTCTTGCTTTTCCGATTCTGGCTTTGATGTCCTCGTCAGTTCCGCCTGTAGTTGAGACGATGCTTCCCAGGTAGGTGAAGGAGGTTGTTTCTTTCAGGTTCTTCCCATTTATGCTTATTGTGGTCTGTTGTTGTTGTTGATGTTGGCTAGGAATCTTCATCATCTCTGTTTTATCTATGTTCACGTGAAGTCCTATCTTTGATGCTTCTTCTGCCAACTTGTTACTTTTCACTTGCATATCTTCCAGTTTATGGGAAATCAGACATATATCATCGGCGAAATCCAGATCCTCCAAGTCTTTTGTGTCAGTCCATTTTATGCCTGTTCCCTCGTTGGTTGCCGTTGTCTGTCGCATTATCCAATCAATTGCAATCAGGAAGATCATTGGTGATAGTAGACAGCCTTGCCTCACTCCCGTCCTCACTTCGAAGGCTTCCGTAAGTTTCCCGTTGTGGATTACTTGGCATGCAGCATTGTCGTATAACTGTTGGATGAGGTGTATAATTGTCGATGGGACCCCGTAGTAGCGAAGTAGTTTCCAAATGACCTCTCGATCGACGCTGTCGAAGGCCTTTTCAAAGTCGATGAAGTTGAGATAGAGAGGTGACTGCCATTCCAAGCTTTGTTCAATGATGATCCGTAGAGTGGCGATTTGATCAATACATGATTTGTTTCTCCTGAATCCAGCCTGTTCCGGACGAAGTTTTTCATCTAGGGCTTGTTTGATTCTCTCCAGGATGATGCGACTTAGTATCTTGCTTGGAATGGACAGAAGCATAATTCCACGCCAGTTTTTACATTGACTTAAGTCTCCTTTCTTTGGAAGTTTGAATAAGTAACTGTTCTTCCAATCCTCGGGTACTTTGCCCTCTTTCCACACCTTCTCCAGTAGTGGTGTCATCAAGTCCGCTGTTGTCTCTGGGTCTATTTTCAAAGCCTCTGCTGGGATTCCATCTGGTCCCGGTGTTTTCCCAGCTTTAAGCATCTTGATTGCATTCAGGACTTCTGATTTCGTCGGGGGGTCAGTGTTCACTGGTAGTTCTGCTTCCGTTGTTGGTATTGCTGGACGTGTTGTAGGTGGCGGACGATTTAGAAGTCTTTTGAAGTGTTCAACCCAGTGCTTTCTCTGTTCCACCTCTTTGGTGATTGACTTTCCATTGTCGTCCTTTATTGGCTTAATCTGTGTCGAACGTTTGCCCGAAAGGTTCCTAGTTGTTTGGTAGAGTGTGGCGAGGTCTCCTTTGCCTGCAGCTTGTTCTGCTTCGTTTGCCATGGTTTCATAATATTTTCTTTTGTCTTCCCTGGCACTTTTCTTCACTCTTTTGTTCAGTGTATTGTAGCTTGCATTCAGCTCCTGTTTTTGTTGCTCGTCCGTGCACTGGATAATCTTTTGCTTCACTGTCCTTCTCTCTTCTATTAGTTTCCAAGTGTCCGTAGTGAGCCACTGTTTGTCCTGTCTCTTTTTTCTGCCTAGAATTTCTATGCAGGTTTGGCTCCACACCGTTTTCAAGTTGTTCCAGTGCTTTTCAACGCCGACCTCTTCGCTAGTGTTGATTTGTGTCTCGGCTTTGTCCTTTATGCTTGCAATGAAGATGTCCTTTGTAGCCTGGTCCTTCAGCTTTTGAGTGTTGAACTTGGCTTGTGGTCTATCTGCAGCTCCTGATTCCCTGAAAGCTTTTAATTTGATTTGGATTGTCCCTTGTACGAGATAGTGGTCTGAGCCAACGTCTGCTCCTCTTCTTGCTTTTGTGTCCAGTAGGCTGCGCCTCCACTTCCTTGAGATTGAGATGAAGTCGATTTGGTTTTTGGTTTGCCCGTCTGGTGACACCCATGTAGCCTTGTGGATATCTTTGTGCTTGTATACACTGCCACCAATCACCAGTTCGTTGAAGGCGCAGAAGTCGGCGAAGAGTTCTCCGTTTTCATTCATTTCTCCTAGAGCTTCTCTACCCATGATGAGTTCCCTTCCCGTATTGTCTGGTCCCAGTTTGGCGTTCATGTCTCCCATTAGTATTTTCATGTCGCCAGCTGGAGTATTGTCCATTGTTGCCTGTAGTTGCCTGTAGAATTCTTCTTTCTTCTCGAGGTCTGCGTTGTTTGTGGGTGCATAACATTGTATGATTGACACTTTCCTTCCTTTGGAGTTGAACCTGGCGGTCATTATCCTGGACGAAATCGCCTCCCATTGTATCAGGGCTTTCGTTGCCGTTGGTGACATCATGATAGCCACGCCCTCGGTGTGCGTGTGGTTATCTTCTGGGTGACCGGAGTAGATCACTGACTCACCTGTTGACAATTTGGTGAGTCCACTCCCATTCCATCTGCTCTCACATATTCCCAGCACTTGTATTCCGTATCTTTTCATCTCGTTGGCGATCTGGGCAGCTTTCCCAGTCTCGTACATAGTTCGGACGTTCCATGTTCCTACACAGACTTTTTCTTTTGGTGCAAGGAGGTTCAACATACTGAAGTTTCTTTAGCAATTTTTGTTTACAGGGTGGGGTTGCTAGCCTCACGCCTGAGAAAAGAATGATTACATTAAGTAAAAGTTTAGAGAGAAGCAACTTTTTGGGTTGCTCCCCTCAAAATCAGAAAATAACGGACAAACAATGAGAACAACATCAACAAAGGAAACAGTTCACAGAAAAAAGGGCAAAAAGCGACGACAACTATACAATAAGACAACATGCAATATAGTTCAGTACATTTAACTAAAATGATATCTTAACCATAAACTCACTGACTTGGAGCAACTTGAACATATAAATCCAACAATATATACAATTATAGATGTGTTTATGTTTAAAAATTCCACAAATCCAAACAGTGAGTTATGTGTATTATCTGTCAATAAGATTGTATTTTTTGGATTCAGTGTTCGAAAGGTTAATAATTGTGATGTAACTTATCCACTATTCTCTCGTATCTCTAGTATCAGCTGACGCCAAAAACTAACAACCTCAGTACAACATATGGTATTCTTATAGTTCACAAGCTAGCATATCCCACTAACTTCACAGTTGAAGACTCTGCATTTTGTCAGCGTCCTCACCTAGAAGGACTATATCTTCTGTATATTCTAAGTCAACGAGATTATTCCCTGGTAGCAAGTCAGGCCTGAGTCGCTGAAGTGAGTTAGGGTTAAGTCCATTAGTACATCTATGATGAAGTTGAATACAAATGGGGATAATAGGCATCGTACATATAAGGAAATTTTCAGTTTGTAGTACAGTATTGCATCTAACCTTCTCATTACAGGAGTAATAATCAAAACAGGGTATTTACTTCGATAACACTGCTCAATAAGAAAATGAATATAAAATTAAGTGAAAATATTAACAACCACTTGACAATGAAAAAGATAGGGCCATTTTACATGACAAAAATCTTTGATTATATAAAACATTTAGTCTTTTCATTTCCAGTTTTATCAGCAAGTTTAACTTTTTTACACCAGGCTTATCATTAGTTTTGAACAACAGTTCTTTATCTCTACGTAGCTTTTTGAGATATGGCGAAGAGAAGCGATCAAATCGAATGAATAATGTTTCTTTAGGACAACATATTTCAAAACAGAATTTAAGATAATCAGTAGTGTTTGTGATTGTGTCATTTAATGTTTGTTCTGTAAATAAGTCCCAGTTAGTGTCTTTCACCATGCATCTGAGTTTGTCTAGGTTGTCTTGTGAGTAGCATCTCCGTTGAACTTTACTGTAGAGGTGAGAGAGGACACCTTTGTGTGAATTGGAATATATCTTAGGCAGTACACGTATGATGCAGTGGTCAGAATTAAGTAAAGGAGTACGTTTGCGAGCTTCATATATACCAACCTCATTGATAAATACTAGATTCAGTGTTTTACCTATACGGGTAGCAAAGTTAACAATATTGTCATGACCAAGTGATATAAGGAAGGAGTGATCGCATGAATTAAAATCACCAGTTACTATTGATAAAGAGTTCTCGAAGCAAGCTGCAGCAAAAGCGGTGAACTCATCAGCGAACATAGATAAATCCGATATGGTACAGCCAGGAGAGACATAAACATTAGAAATATAAATTAATTTGTATTTTGACAGGTGTTTCGGGTGACATCTCACAGTGATGCAATCAATGTAGTCATTCGAGAATTTGAAACAAACATTGTTAGAAATGGACCATTTTGAGCGAATAAAAGTTGCAACACCTCCGCCACATTTTTTCTTTGAACAAACACGGTCTTGTCGGAATACATTAAAATTATTTAGAGACACAATATTGTCATCATGTGAGTCATGGAGCCAAGTTTCTTGTAGAGTGACAATACCAGTATTGTGGTAAATTCCGGACGACAACAGGGACTGAAAATACAGAATTTCTTTAGGCAGGGACCGGCAGTTGGTACTAATGATAACCGGAACAGTGGTCTCATGTATGGGTGTAGATTTTAAAGCACGCTGCCAACCTCCATGGTGCTATTTCTTGAGTTTATGGCATATATGAAAGATAGGGCCATTTACTTAGAGTTCCGCAATAAGTTGATCATCTCCTACCTGAAACCTTTCTCATCACATAACATGTGAGCTAAATAAGGTATTGGAGAGGTTTTGCACTAATTCGTCCGAGTACACAGTCTTCTATAGTTGCTTCTAGTTCTACCCAATGAGATGAAAAGATACAGCTGTGTATACAGAGGATGCTCACTGACAAGATATATTTGCTAATTTCTTGCAGGAGTCCATGTAGTTATCCACAATAGTATTAACGAGTTGGTTTACCGACACCCAACCCGCCCTACTGACGGCTTCTAGTGCCCTTCACAGTATTACAAAAACGTCTTTCTAAACTACCCCAAGAAAGATTTAATGGGGACAGTAAAGAAGGGTAGGCAGACCACAAAAATTAACAGATTCAGAAAGTAGGGACGGAATGATACCAGATCGTCCGAACTTCTTCCTCACGCAGAAGAAAGTCAAACGAAATTTCTATCTGGAAAATAACATCATTTGAGAAGACCAGGAAAGGTGATCAGAGGAAATACACAGTCCAAGGAACCCAACATTCGATTTAACTTCAACTTCTGTGGCATCTATGATAGTGGAACCATGCGGACTAAACAGTTCATGTAAGTCGCCTTTGCTTTTGAAAGTTTTTCAGACGAATTTCGTCTGAATGCATAGTTTAGCCTTATTACATCAAATGCAAATCTTCTCAGCTACATGCAATACATCAATACGGAGCCCACCGTAAAGGTTCGATGGGATTGGGTTTCGAGATACCATGCGATGTGGTGAATCAACTAGAATGCTTTCGTTTTCTACACTCAGAGAAATCTTCAGTGACACATTGACTTTACAATCTATTTATTTGCAAACATTTATGTTCGTATAGTGTTCGCTTACATCTGTTGTTCCGAGTTTTACTCTACAGACCTTGATCATTTCACAACAATGTCTCACCAGAACAAAGTAGTTCAACGGCTTAACACTCATCTTTCATCTAATGGGATCCCGACTGAGAATCCAGGTCTACCTACTTCAAAAGCCTGTGGAACTGGGTAACATCATCACCTCTCTCTCTCCCCCACACATACACATACACACACACCAGTAGCAACACCAAATGACTTATCTCGTGAACAGAGTTGAACCACCAAACCATTGCAAGGCGTTCCACACAGACCCTCAAATCCTATTCACTCGTTCATATAACAATCAAAGTCGGTCCACAAACACAAAAGAGAAGAGAGTTCAAACACCTACCTTCACGAGGAGTTGGTAATTCCAATGCCGTGCTCTTTTTAACACGCTTTTTTGATCGTTTACGAAGATTTCTTGTTAAAACATTTGATTCATTAGCCATAAACACCTCATCACCAAATCCTCCATCATCATGAACACTTCCACTACATCATCCTGATTCGGTGCAGTCTTTATCATTTAACAACGCTATACTACCCGACCGTGGACTCCATACTTCACCAGTACCTGGTATACGTAATGAACTCAACTGAACAGCATCTGGGAGTGGAAGTGTCGATAGATTCTGTGTACTTGTATACGCCAACACCTAAATCATCATCATCATCATCGTAATAATAATAATAACAACAATAATAACAGCAGCAGTAATAACGGTAATCATTTAACATGTGTGTGAAAAAGAGGCAACATAAGGATGAAATTACGACTTTGCAGTCAGTTTATACGAGACTTTCATTCACAGGTGTATTCTAAGCAAACAGTCTCCTGGTTAACCAGTTGAAAAGCTAAGATTTAAACGAAGAGAGCCATGAAATTTAAAAGTTTTATCTATTCACTAGAAACCCGTTACATTGGTATTGTGATCATTATTATTATTATTACTATTATTATTGTTATTCGTTAGTTGCGTTCCTAGTGAAACATAGGGAGCCGTCTATCAGTATGACATTCCCTTCGGACTATGATCTCAGCTATCAATCCAATTTGGTACAACCGTTGCTCACAATTTTCATTTCCACCTAGTATAATCTCCACCCCTCCAGCCCCACCTCCATGTCACCGACGACTCGGAATAACGCCCCACTCGCCTTCCCCAATTATTCAAATGTCACTCAAGAGTCTACTAATATTGTGACAAAATCAATACAAATGACGACAAACTGAGCGAGGAAACATTCCTCATTCCAAGTAGTTCCTCGTTATCAGCTCCACATTGATATGAAATGAAAAGAATCGTCAATCTTTCTGCAGACTATTTCCATTCCAAAATAAGCTATTTCAATCAATTTGTCAATTCGACCGAACCGGTATTACCAGCCTATTCAAAACCACAGTAGCCAAAGTACCTATGATTCAGTAGGTAGATACAGGTCAGTAACAACCACAATTACGACATCATCACACTTCAGAAGATTAAAGCAAGCGTTCAAAAGTGATCACACACTTAACAGAAAACACTAAAGCGTGAAAAACTTACGTCAGAAGACTTCTTCGTCCCAAATAATTGTGACATTTTACAACACCAGTTGTACAAATTAAAAGATGGATGCCCGTAGGGGATGAACAATGGAGGGATGTTCACCACAACAATCAATAATTGATTACCAGTGTTACTTAGATTATGGCTTCCTGTAGGGATAGGCACCAGTTTCAATGTGTCAGGGCTAATGACACTAACACCCGGCTGTCCAAACCACTCTCAGTTGGTGGAGTGCGGACGAGAGCCCGTGAACCATTGGTTAGTAGTCAATAGCCTAAACCAATGAGCCACACAGATCCATTGACGAATACTGTAAAAAAAACATACGACATATTCACATTCCCCTCAAAAATCACATCCAACTCGTAACTAGGTAACTCTGATACTCAGTTTTCTATAAGATTTATTGCAAAAATGTTCAAATTATAGGGAAAAACAAGCTAAATAGCACACAAGGAAACCTATGACAGGAAGCATGTGGGAGATTATCAAAATACGACAATCCATAGTCGAGACACGTATACTGACAATACACCAAGAAGAGGGAATTCAAAACACTACTAGTGCCACCTATGCAAATTCGAACAGGGAACCTCTGAAATCTTACGAAAGAATATCAACAATTCGGGAATAGAACTCGCTAAATCAGAATGTAACACACTACGAGTGAGGATAAACTATACCAGCCACCAAAAATGAAGTCGAGTAAACAACAATCATCTTACACTAGTCATCAACACAGTGTAGGGTTAGCTTCAAGAGTTTTTTGCATATCCAACTTATCCACTTCTAATGTCTGGGGTTAAGGTTAACGTTTAGGCTAGGCTTAGTTTCACACAGACATCACGACTGACAGCTGGTCAGCATCACACATCACAATGACCCTACGAGCAATAAATAGACCAGCTGGAACTAATTTCCCTGTAGGCCCCACTATATACAAGAAACCTCGTTTGGATAGCACATACACCAAAGGCAGTCACCGTCACTAAGTGTGATTCGTCTAAATTATGCTGGTGATCTGTGGGCGAAGTCGGACTGCTGGCGAATACGGGTATGTAACAGGAGTAAGCTGTTTACTTCAGATGACCAGGAATCCAGGAATGCTGTCTCTTCTATCTTCAGTGGAGGGGTGTAGCTTAGAAAAGGTCGCCCTGAAAATTCTACATCCCGGATTACCTGGCCACCTTTAAAACCTTTTTACAACTTTCACAACTTCAAACAAGCCATATGTGTGTGTAACCGAATTCAAGCAGTCGACCCACGGGTGCTGCGGTCAACCAACACTAATGCTTTATCTGTCTCACCTACCCCAAGATACGAAATCCAGAAAACAACTGTATATAGTTACACACCACCACAGCATAGGATGGCAGAAGATAGACATCGATAACTGAAGCCATATTTATCCAGTCATACATACAATAAGAATAAATCATCATATTTGAATGAATCAACACCAGTCGTTCATCCGGACATCAAGAAAGTTCTACTATTACCCCTACGAATAATGCGAAGGAAGAGCGAGAATTACAAAACCCGAGAAAATGTAGAGCTACATTTGGTTATGATTATAAACAAGAGTAAATCACGACCAAGACATCACTCAAGTGAGTAGTATTCTTCCAGTGTTTGTGTGTGTGTGTGTCTATGCACCTGAAAAAGCCCTACTATGCAAGCTAAACTAAGCCATCGATCTCACAAGTAATAGTAAATCTACTGAACAGTAAATAACCTAAATATCCCAAGGATGACAATTGTAGGACGCAATTTAAGTAAATATGTATTCTCGGCAATTTCTCATCAGGCTTTACAACTACATAATAAAACACATTTGAACATAATGTGGTTAATAGAATTAAAATTTAGGCATGTGAATCGGGGGTTAACAATCGAGGTGATCACAACAATAAAAATAATAATATTAACAATATTAACAAGGATAAATTGATTCAAGTGCTCATGTAATCTGGCTAGTCAATTGTCGTGAATGTGCATACTTCTAGGGGGGTACAGGGGGAAATAACAGTTGTCTCATAACGATTAGACAACATATCAATAATAATAGTAATCTGTCTGTCTGTTTTCGACATAGAACTTTGCACAAATGTGCGCCAGTTCAAGTCGCCACACTCCGTGTAGCACGCGAAGCAAGAGAAGAAAGTACAAGAAAAGCATAATAGAAACAGTGAGCAGAGGTGTGAGACAAAGGAGTAATAAAGAAAAACAAAACAGTTTCACAAGGAGTGGATGCATCTGCGCCACTGAGAACGATTTTGAGCCACGCCACCAATTGTTTCCAACCATAGATTTTTACCGTCCCGAGGACCCCAGCCTGGAAGTCTACACCTTCCTACGTGGCTTAGACCAACTGTTGTGGATTTCATTGACTGGTGCCAAGTTTTTGTTTGACCGCCGCTAGCTTTTTTCCAGCCTGACCCTATATCCGCTAACATTGCTCGTCGAGGGAGGCGATGGCTTGGCATACGTAACACATGTCCTAACCATCTCAGTCTTTGTAGCTTCACGACTTCGTCGATTGATTTCCCCTGTTTACCTAGAACTCGACACCTAACCTCAATGTTGCTCACCTTATTATGCCACTTTACACGGGAAATAGAACGCAGGCACCTATGATCAAAGACAGCTAGTCTTTTCATGTCTTCCACTCTCAGTGGCCAGGTCTCACAGCCATAAAGGAGGACGGAGCGGACTGATGAGCAGTACACCCGCCCTTTGGTCGATAGTCGAACATCTCGTCTACGCCAGAGTCGGCGTAAACTGGCAAATGCGAAACGAGCCCCCTGTATTCGTGCTGAGATTTCGTCAGAGATCAACCCGTTGGCACTGGCTGATGGTACTTCCCAAATAAGTGAAGCGGTCAACGTGCTCTACCACTTCACTTCCTATTTTTAAACTAGGCGTCGATGTAGTCCAGTCCTGTATCATCATCTTGCATTTGGCGGGAGCGAATCGCATGTTAAACATTCGTAGATTGCTGCTCAAGGTGTTTAGAAGACTCTGCATTTTGTCAGCGTCTTCGCCTAGAAGGACTATATCGTCTGCATATTCCAAGTCAACGAGATTATTCCCCGGTAGCAAGTCCATCCCTGAGTCGCTGAAGTCACTTAGGGTTAAGTCCATTAACACATCTATGATGAAGTTGAATAGAAAAGGAGATAATGGGCATCCTTGACGGACACCACTGGTCGTCATCAGTTCAGATGACAGCTCGCCGTAAGCCCTCACCTGGCTGTATGAGTACGAGTAGAGTGCCTTAATCAGTGAAATATATTTTCTCGGAATCCCCTTTACAGCCAAGCATCTCCAGAGAACTTCTCGATCGACAGATTCGAATGCTGCCTTTAGGTCAAGAAATATAATAACTGTTGGGCGCCGGTAGGAATGCCTATGTTCTAGAATCTGTCGGAGGGTGAAGATATGATCAATACACCCTCTTCCTGGTCTAAAGCCTGCCTGGCTCTCTCGTGTTTGTGCCTCCCGAGCACCACTTAGTCTACGCATGATTATTGAGCCTAAGACTTTAGATACTATATTAGTCAAGCTTATCCCTCTGTGATTATCACAGGAAGACTTGTCTCCCTTCTTGTATATGGGGATAATCAGTGACTTACACCAACCCGATGGGACTTCTTCCGATTCCCAGACGCTGCCTAGTACCTCAGTTAATGCAGACAGTAAGCTGTCTCCACCGTACTTAAATACCTCTGGAGTCATTCCATCAGGTGTTGCCGCTTTGCCTAGTTTCAGATTGGTGACAGCTTTAGTAACCTCAGTTAGGGATGGAGGACCTGTGTTTAAATCCCATTCAGGGAGGTGTTGGATGATCGGAAGGTTGAGCGTGGCTGTGGGCCAATTAAACTGCTCCTCATAATGCT